ATAGTGGTTGATGTGCCTGCGTTGAATGTGTTATAAAAGCTTTGGTTCCAGGATATGATACTTTATTTGTGCTCAACACAGACACAGAAAAAGTTCTGATTGTCTGTTATTTGTTAGCTGCACACATGAAGAGTCAGTATACATTTTTGACAGATATTTGAAGCTATCTGGACAGGGGACATCCAGTGAGGACGCACAGTGGCTGTTGATCACTTGAACCATGTTATGCTTTTGGAGAAACTTGTTTTTTAATGGCGTGTTCATCGGACCCAATCTTGTGCAATTTGTATGGCTTCACTTAAATGAAAGCCCGTTGAACTAAATGCCCATTAAGCTTATTTACTTCTTACCCTAAGACTCTGTGATCCTACACGAAATTTGTGGTAGAATATAGGAGTTTGCTATTTGCCTAAAAGGATATCTTGGTGGAAAAAATTCACATTCGGTGATTTAAAGGTGGAAAAAGTCTGAACTTCATGCTGTTAGTAGTAAAACCGGTGGCCATAACCTGTTCTCCAGGTCTGCAAGGGCACTGTTGTCCACACAGTGATGGTTTGCCCTGTAACATCTCATGTTGTTAAAAGTGACAGAAAATTGTCCAAAGCACCAGTGGTGTATTGCTGAGACTAAGATAGAACTTTCTCCTAATTATTATAGCAGTTCTCAGATAATCATTTTGGGGGGGGGGGTTATTATCAAATGCCTTTCCCAGCTAAGGTGATCAGTGCTTTACTTAAAGTCACCAGTTGTTTCCCTGAATTGAAATACGTGAAGGAAAATTCCTTTTTAAGCTCTGTAAGGATGATTTAAAGTTACTGTTCTACAGCTGTTCCTTTCTAAATATGCAAGGGGTAGGAAACTGAAAGATCCATTTAGAGATACAAAAGTTTCTTTTATTTTCAGAGTATTCTTCACTATGAACATAATCATGGCTATTTCTACAAATGCCACGTAGTAGGAAGAATCTCATTTGCTGCATATTGTTGCCCCATCATTGCACACTTCAGTGTATAGACAGTCCCATCTGAAGGTGGGGCAGTCACTGCCCTTCTTACTCATCTGTTTCTGCCTCCAGCTCAGGAAGCTCACGTTTTGGAGGAGTTCAGTGGAGTCTGGTTACAAGCAGGACTCATAGCTCAGAGATAAATCAGGCCCTTGAGGAGCTTGTAACTTACCCTGCGTAAAAAGCTGAAGAGCCTGATGTATATTCATTTCCTTCCTTTAGATATTTGTGTTGTTCTCCTACTCTAAACTAGTCTCACAGAAATGAATCAGAGAATTGCATCTTTTCCAGGACATACAACTTTTAATGGGAAATAGATTACAGATGAACAGTAAGAATGGTTTTTCAAGACCTTTCTAAAATCTGCCACCACTTTGAAGTATCAAAAGTTAATTTTGATTCTAAGCACTTGGCAGGATAGTATATTGGATGTGCAAGGCAGAGAATCTGTTTGCTGTTGATTTGAAAATGAATTTGTACTGTTTTGTGGCATTTCTTACTTTATACAGCTAATAGAGTATTATAAACTATAGCAGTTACCTCATTTGATGGTGAAAGAAGATCTTGGAAGTTGATTCATTCAAAACAGATTTTGCAGAATCCAGGTGGAAGAGAAAATGTTTAGGACTCTACCTCTAAAAATCCTGAAAGTTAGAACATTTAGCCTATAAAATATTACAAGAAAAGGAAATTGATAAATTTCTGCAAGTGTTTATTATATGATTAGTTGACCTTGAGGGGGTTGGAGGAATGATAGGATCATTACGCTGCATGTCCACTGCTTGTAGGTGGGCTGTTCTGTTCTCTTATCCACACTTGAGGCCCACACTTGGTAGAGTTCCCACCTGATATGGAGATTACCCACCACTGTGGTGGTGGTAGTTGCCAGGTCGGGGGGTCCTCGCATCTGACCTCAGCCTGACAGTCTGTTTTCTTTTCAACCCAGTCAATTTCTGATCATATTTAAGACTTCGAACTTTATAGGGCCTTCAGCCGTCTGAGGGTTCTTAACTCAGAACCTTTTAAGAGAAGTCAGCAAGGCAGAGGGAGAGGGGAATCACTTACTCCTAGCTTCTGCTTCTCTTCTTCCCTATTACAAATCGTGACTAACCAAGAAGAAGGGGACATGGCTGAAGCAGTTGGCTTGGCACTCCACCAGGGTATTTTGAGTCCTCCAGCTAAGAACCTTAGAGCAGCAGGTGGAGCAAAACTAAAATTCCAGCAGCCCCTCTAGGGGCAGGAGTCAGTATGGTTGGTTGTACAAGCTCATCACAATTCATTCTGAAGGAACTATATAGAACTTGTATGTTGCTGACCTGAGCTCAGCTCTTACTTTGCAGGCCCAAAAAAGCTTAGTCACTCCAGATGACATCCTAGAATCTATTGGTGATAGTTCTATTTGGCTTTTCTCACAGAAAGGGATAACAAGTGTCTAAGATCTAATGGATGATGAGAGCTTCTGTTTATGGAACACCCAGTGCTGACAGGGTATCTTGCTAGGTGTTACTGTGGTCCCCATTATTCCTATAGCCAACTTAAGCTTGTTCTTAGTGCTATATAGCTAGTAGATAGGAGTCCTGAGGTTGGAGCAGAGCCCTGTCTGACTCCTCATCCCATAATCTTTTACTCCAGCACTCTGCCTTTCCCATAGAGTATTAACCTGAAAAAATAATTCTAACTAGCATCTAATGTCACACCCCATTCAGCCTGAGAACTGGAACATCAAGAGAAGTATCATTTTGGAGAAAGAATCAAATGTAACTACAAATAAAGATGTTTCCATAACGTCTTATTTTGAAATAATTTGAGACTTACAGAAAAGTTGCACAAATAGTACAAAGAATTCCCATATACCTTTCATGCAAATTCCTCACATGCTAACATTTTACCACATTTGCTTTTTTTTTCCTGAATAATTTGAGAGTATAGTTGCAGACATGTTGCCTAAATATTTCAGTGTATATTTCCTAGCAAACAAAGACATTCTGTTACATGACCACAGTAAGTTGATCAAAATCAAGCAATTAACACTGATCCAAGTATTTTTATTTAATCCACAGACCATATTCAAATTTGGCCAATTGTTATACTGATGTCTTTTGCAGCAAAAGAAAAGAAAATAGTTTTTTTGGTCTAGGAAAAATCTAGGATCACTTGTGGCATTCAATTGGCATGTCTCTTTAATCTCCTTTAATATGTAACAGTTCCTCAGCTCATGACCTCGACACTTTTGAAGAATACAGGCCATGTATTTTGTAGAATTTCCCTCAGTTTGGACTTGTCTGGTGTTTTCTCATGATTAGATTCTGGTTATGCATTTTGGCAGCAGGAATCCCACAGAAGTGATGCTGGTTCTTCTTGGTTCATCCTCTCAGGAGGCACATGGCTTTGGGGTGCTTCATTTCTGGGAGGTGAAGTCCATACTTGGTTCAGGTGGGGTCTGCCAGCTTTCTCCACTGCGAAGTTATTATTCTCCCTTATGGAATTATTAAGTATCTCCTGGAGAGATACTTTTGAGACTATGTAAATATTTCTGTTTCTCATTCAAACTTTTAGCCACTAGTTTTAACATCCATTGATGATTGTTGGTTGAGATCATTATTACTGTGATGGTCACCCAGTGGTGATTTTCTAATTCCATCATTCCTTTTATGGTAAGTAAGAGCTTTCTCTTCTCCTCCTTTACAAATAAGTTTGGTCTGGCATCATGCTAGAACTCATACTTCTTTGTCAAACATGGTGGTGTTACCATAAATTATCTGGGAGATACTTGTTTTTAAGTTCATGCTTTGCAAAAGTATTCCACACTAAGGGAATGAAAAAATAGTCCTGCTTCACATGTGACAGTCCATGCTCTCAGTTCAAATGATAATGTTTTTTTGTTTTGTTTTGTTTTTAAAGATTTTTATTTATTTATTTAACAGAGATAGAGAGAGAGCACAAGTAGGCAGAGCAGCGGACAGAGGGAGAGGGAGAAGCAGGCTCTCCGCTGAGCAGGGAGCCGGATGCGGGGCTTGATCCCAGGACCCTGGGATCATGACCTGAGCTGAAGGCAGCCGCTTAACCAACTGAGCCACTTAGGTGCCCCTCAAATGATAATGTTTTATTTCTGCCTGTATCCACTTTTTCTTGCCATTGCTTTTATCTTCCCTCCCCATTCTGGGTTCTGTTTCCACCACAGAACTTTGCCTAGGGTCCAAATGGCTTTTGCTAGCTTTGAGTTTGTTTGAAGTGCTATAAAAATTATCTAAAGATATAGTAATGATACTATTATCTGTAGATTTAGATGTGTACCATGTCAGTATCTTGCACTTACCAATTAAATCAGTGTGAAAAAAACCTTAAATCTTAGGGCAGGGGGAAAGAGGTGACTGAGAAGGAGAGCTTAGCATAGAGATCTTAGCTCTATCAGTGTCTCCTAGCTAGTAAACCTTCCCTCCTAGGGCTTGAAGCCATTTGCTGCCATGACGTGTACATTCTGCCACTGACCCCTCCCATTTTTCTGAATTTCTTCTGTAGGATAAAACTGGTTGTCATTGATGGTGTTCTCCTTTGCATGCTCTCCCTCCAGTGAAGGGAGATGAAAAGAAAAAATAGCGCTTCTAAGAAGTTTGGGAAGAAAATGCATACCTGATCTCTAGAGTGGTTGAGGATTGAGATACTTCCAGTTTGGTGATATTTTCCTTTCAGATGAAATTAAGGTTACGTTGCAGCAATGTGTTTCTTGATTCAGAAGGTATTTAATAGGGTCAGCATTTTAAGCCTCTGTTATTGTCCAGACCTCAGGAAACTTGGCTTTTCAAGCTCAAATTCTAGGGAAGTGGTAATTTTTATTGATTTTATTTCTTTAAATTTGAGGCTTCCTTCAGTTGCCAATCTTTGTGACTGCTATCAAATTTCCAGGAATCCTACTAAAGAGGTTTCTCAGACGGTAATTTGCATTCATGAGTTCGGGCATCTCTGAATCCTCCCTGACCACTGGATTTTCTTCCCGCAGGAAGACCTCCTGATGCAGTCAAGCAAAGAACGTTTATGCACGGGCTTCCCTGAAGACTGTCTGAGGAGCAAAGGTATTTATTTTTCTCTAGTCTTTTTCTTTTTCTACTTATTACACACTGTTTTAGTTCACAGTTTCTTTTTTGCATCAGGAATGCAGGTCCCTGCCTTGCAAGATAGACTTAATTGTAGAAATTCTTGATCTTGCCCATTGACATACTTGAAGACACCTAATATTATTGAGCAGTGCCTTAGGTTTTCTTGTTTTTCGTTTTAATTTTTTTAATTTATTTATTTGACAGAGAAAGACAGGAACATAAGCAGGGGGAGTGGGAGAGGGAGAAGCAGGCTTCCCGTGGAGCAGGGAGCCCAATGCAGGGCTTGATCCCAGGACCCTGGGATCATGACCTGAGCCGAAGGCAGACGCTCAACAACTGAGCCATCCAGGCGCCCCTTTTGTTTTAATTTTTTTTATTTTTTATTTTTTTTTTAAGATTTTATTTGAGAGGGAGAGAGGGCACGCAAGCAAACATGGGGAGGGGGAGGAACAGACACAGAAGCAGACTATCCGCTGAGCAGGGAGCCTGATGCAGGGCTGGATCCCAGGACCCTGGGATCATGACCTGAACTGAAGGCAGACACTTAACCGACTGAGCCACCCAGTTTTATGTAATGAATGAATATAAAGCCTCCCCTTTTATATAATGAATCCCTATCGATGTGAATTATTTGATTTTATAAAACTAAACTGCTTATTTGGAAAGGTTAACATGAATGGGGAGGAATTGACCCAGTCCAGTTGAACACTGTGGAGTGCATCCTGTTCCTGTTCCCCTGGACAGGGATGGGAGAAAGCGTTCACTCCAGGTCACCTGTCAAAGCAGTTTCATTTCCATTACTTCGTTTTGCTTCTCAAAACAATGAGTGGATATAGGCCTCTGAGATATCACCTTTAGATTGATTGATTGATTGATTGATTGATTGAGGAGGAAGCTGAAACCCAAAGAAAGAGTGCTGAGCCAAGATTTTCTCCCCAGGCTGAAAATAATCTTAGGTAACTGTAGAAAGGACTGTGTCTATATATTATGCAATTAAAGTTGAATATATAGAGTAATCAAAACACACAAAAAAAGGAAAATACAGCAAGTATGTTTAATTATATGAACATTTCGTGATAAAACATCAGATTTGACTCTCTGCTTCTTGGCAGCCCAGACAGAAAAGGAAGCACAAATTGTCCTTATGAGAAAAGGTACTTGTCCCACTTTATCACCCTGCTTCCTGCTGCTGGAGATTTCTTCTGTGGCTCAAAGGCTTGGCTGTCCAGTATAGATTAAAACTCTGAGGATGAGAAATGTCCTTTTGTACATGTCTCACCCAGTTCCTAGGGCCTTACTTGGGACCATTTTAGCCCCCCACCCCTGCCCCAAATATCTTTTCAGCAGGGCTCCAGTATTGCTATATTGAGTCTTTGGTATATATATATGTATTTTTTTTTTAAGATTTTATTTGTTTGACAGAGAGAGACACAGCAAGAGAGGGAACACAAGCAGGGGGAGTGGGAGAGGGAGAAGCAGGCTTCCTGCGGAGCAGGGAGCCCGATGCGGGGCTTGATCCCAGGACCCTGGGATCATGACCTGGGCCAAAGGCAGACGCTTAACGACTGAGCCACCCAGGCGCCCGAGTCTTTGGTATATTTTTGGTATATTTTCACCCACATCTTAGCACAAGTTTAGTGTCTATTTGTTGAACTACACTTTCATTTAATAACTAAACTGACCTTTAAACAGGAGAATTAGGGGGTGCCTGACTGGCTCAGTTGGTAGAGCATGCAACTCTTGATCTCGGGGTCATGAATTTGAGCCCCATGTTGGGCACAGAGATTACTTAATAAAGAAAAAAAAATTTTTTTTTTTAAAAAGGATGCCTGGCTGACTCGGTCAGTAGAGTATGTAACTCTTGATCTTGGGATTGTAGGTTCGAGCCCCACGTTGGGTGTAGAGATTACTTAAAAAAAATAAAATCTTTAAAAAAAAATAAAAACAAAAACAGGAGAATCAGTTATTTTCTATGAGGAAATCTGCCTTCTTAGACTTACCTGGTTACTGTCCACCTAAAAATCTGGTCTACACTGGACATGGATAAGATGAGTTCTTCAGATAAGCTACTTTGTGGCATTTTTCTTCCTGATCTAATACCATTCTTTAATGACTTAAATTGGGAAAATGAATTATTTTTCTTTCTCCAAAGCTGTGTGCAAGGTTCTCAGTTTTAGATGGAGGAACTTGAAAACAGCAGCTCTACTAGAGTTTTAAGCAGCAGTGACCTAGTGCCTGACTGTGATACGTTCTTCCATTCAGTCCCCAGAGAGCCTTCAAAGGTGTCCCTTTGTTACACATGAGGGAACAGCCTCCGCCCAAGCAATCATAGCAAGCAGAAAGGAAGGTTCTATGAAGGCAGGTCTGTGAAAGACATGAACACACAAGCTGCTGCCGATTTCAGTTAAACAGATACACATGCTGTCCTGTAATGTGGCCAGCATCTCAGTTCGCTTTGTCGGGGTTAAGGTAAAGCATCTGGCAACCTGTCATTTCCTACAGAATTGAGAAGTAAATGATGTTTCTTGGAAACTTGGTTGTACACTCCCTCTGGGAGCCCCAGCTGCAGAATTTTCACTCTGCTCCAGATCCTGGTCCCACACATTTTAGATGTAGATTTCCCTGATAGAAACTAGTATACCCTTCCTACTTTTGTTTTAAATCTCTGCTCTGTTGAATGCTGTGCAAATCGCTTATAGAGTTTTATTTATATTCCATTTTGCTTATTCTGAATGGGGGCACCTCAAAGGTCAGCACTGTGTGATAATTTATAAATTTGCTGAGGAATGAATTTGGGTCCCCTGCACTGAGGTGTTCAGCAAGTGAACCTAAGGCTGCCACACTCTCCCCTTGGTGTATTGTTCTTCCTTCTCTAAATAAATGTCCTGTTCACAGTACTTCCAAGTTAGTGTGATATTCAGAATTTTTAGGTTCTTTACAGTCATGTCTGCTGTAGCTCAGTTAGGTGAAATTAGAAGAAGCTTAATGCTTTAAAAGGACATTTGTGTTAACCAAAAGTCATCTTTAGTTGGTAGGATGCTATTTTGCAGATCATTCCTTATTTCTTGATTGCTGTAGGGCAGGCCCATGAGAAGTGGGCATGGGGGAACTGTGATGGGTGTTGGATGAGGGTCCATTTCACAAAGGGAGGGTGTCCTCCTGTCAGACACTCTGCTGCCTCTCCTCTTCTACTAGTGTGGCTTTTCTAATGTGGCTTTTTCACCATAATTCTGTTTAATATTTTACAGAATTGACATTATCAAGTTTTTTTGTTTGTTTCTGTTGTGGTTTTTTGTTTTTTGTTTTTTCCTGAGTTCCCTGGCTTGGTTTGGGAAGGTTGACTTAATTCTCACAGTAGCAATCTGCACGAAGGCTTATTTGGGAATTCTCTGAAGTAGGAGAGTCACAAGAAATTGGAAGAGAATTGGAGGGAATACATTTTGATGCAGAGGTGAAAGCAGTCAAGGAGAGAAAAGTTACCTTATATAATTTTTGGAACTAGATAGTTTGAATTATTCAGAAGAATTAGAGTTGAGGGCACCTGGGTGGCTCAGATGGTTAAGCGTCTGCCTTCGGCTCAGGTCATGATCCCAGGGTCCTGGGATCGAGTCCCACATCAGGCTCCCTGCTCCTTGGGAGCCTGCTTCTCCCTCTGCCTC